GCCCGGGGCGCTGTGGCCGGGTGTGCTGAGTCACTCGCTGCACTGCACCCGGCAGCTGGCCTACGTCATTGAAAATGCTCATTGGGCCCAGCTGTGTAGGGGACGGTGCGCACACTAGGTGGGGCGGGGGTGCTGAGCCGATGTAGAATAGCTCAGTGCGTGCAGGGCCCGGAAGGGGGGAGGTCCTGCCTTGGAGGGCTCCCCAGGGCTCAGTGGGGCTGGCTTTCTGAAAGTGGGGAGGGGACCTCCTGGGGTGTGTGGGAAGATAGTTTGTGGCCTTGGGAAGGTGTGGAGGGTCCCGCCGAGCTGGGATGACAAGACAGGTCCATGAGGAGGACCAGCGTGAGCAGGATTTGCAGGGGAGGCGTGTGAAGCTTTTGCGTGGGTAGTCAGTCTCGTGGCTTGTACTAGGCTTTGTCCGGCAGAGCCAACCAGCTTTCCAGGAGGCGGACTCTGTGCCTTCAGCTGCTTCAGTGCCACTTGACTGCCCCGCCGCACTGGTGGGGGGAGGTGACCAGGCTAGACCAGTGGCTCATGCCCTCATCTCACCCCCAGGTCCTGGAGGACACGTGCCGGCGGCAGGACTTCAACCCCAACGAATATGACCTGAAGTGAGTGTGCTCTGGGTGGCTACAGGGTCCAAGTCCATCCCCTCCTCCCCCAGGGTCCCGCTGGGGCTTAAACCAACACAAGTTTATTCTCTCACCATCTGGAGCCCAGAAGCCCCCTACGAAGGTGTTGGCAGGGCCACACTCCCTCCAGAGTTCAGGGGCAGGACCATGTCTTGTCCCTTCCAACTTCTGGGGGCCCAGGCCTCCATGGGCTTATGGTCACCTCCTTCCTGTCTCTGCCTCCCTGCTCCCTGTGTATTGTCTTTCTCCTCTTCCGTCCCTTGTAAGGACATTTGTCTTTGGATTTAAGGCCTACCAGATAATCCAGGGTGACCTCACCTCGAGATCCTTTATCACATTTTCAAAGGCCTTGTTTCCAAATGAAGTCACGTTCGTGAGTCCTGGGGTCTAGGATGTGGATGTATGTTTTTGGGGGCCACCATTCCACCCACTGCCAGTGGGTTTTCGAGCATTAGGTTGTGTAAGTTCCTGGTGGGGCTCTGAGGGCAAGAGGCTGTGGTCACAGAAATGGGAAGAAACTTGCAAACTATAGGTGGTTCTGATGGCCTTACAGCCCCTGGAGTTGTAGTTTAGCAGTATGTCCTTCAAGGTGTGGCTGTCCTCCCAAGGCAGGAGGGCCTACTCTGTTAGGCCCGCCCGTGCTGCCTCTTCTGTGGGGCTCTCCAGAGTGGGGTCCTGAGTGAACGTGCCCTCACGTCATCCAGGATCCCTGCCTTATGGCTAGCCACTGAGAATCCCAGGGCCATGTTGGGCCGTCCCCCTGGGGCCCTGTCACAGAGCCGCACACCCTCTCTGCTTTCCCTGAATCTACCTGAGGCCTCTGCATGGTGTCTGATGGGAGTTAGTCGGAATGTTGAGTCTCTTTCACACACGTATCAGTTTTTCTACTATCTCCCTTTTATCCGCTGACCGTGTAATTTGTTTAAAAAGCCACGGCCACTGCTGAGGAAGGCAGTTCCTCGCACATGTGTATGTGCGCTTGTGCACGAGACCCCTTCCTGTCGCCTCTAGAGCTTCCCAGCCCACTGCCGTCAGGGTCTCCTTAGGTCTGCTGTTCTGTCTTGCACTCAGCGTTGAAGTTGTTGAAGATGGGTATCAAAGTTGTTCGTTTCCCAGGTCTTCCAGACGCCCCAGGCTTCATGAACTGTTCTGCTCAGAAAACCGGTGTTTGCACAGGCACCTTGGCATTCATGCAGTCCAGTGACCACTTTGTGTGTGTTCAGATCTCACATTCTCTCGCCAGTACTGTAGTTTTTTCCCTCAACTTCAGTAAAAATAGAGCTCAGAGCCTGACTTTTGAGAGGTGTGAATAAGTTCTTTTATTCACTCTCCTGGTGATTCATTCTGGCCACTGTCTGTCTCCTCCAAAGTGGAGGCCACACGGCAGTAGTGTCTTCTGCTGGGGGCGGGAGCTTTTCTCAGACTCAAGTGATGTGAGGGTTAACAGTGGTGGTTCTCGTTCCTGTAGGGTTCCTGGGAGCTAAGGGGGTCGTGAGGAGAGGGCCCAGGGTCAGGCAGGCTCTAGCTGCCTGGCCGCCACCCTCCCTGCCCACGGGCGTGGGTCTGGGTCCGGGTCTCCGAGGCCCCCATGCTCTCCTCTCTTTCCTCTTTCCCAAAGACGTGTCAGACTCCTTGTCTGTCCACAGACGAGATGTGATCTGAGCTGGACATTAGGAGCTGCACATGGTCCCAGCGCTGCCTTTGGTTGGCCAGGGCCACCTGTCGGCACTTCTCATCTAAGTTTCCTGTTCGTGACACGTGCTGACCATGATCCTGGCCTCACTTCCCAGGAGGGCAAGCTGCCAGTAGAGACAGCAGGGGTCTTGAGGTCCCTGGATTCTCCACCCGCCCTCTTCTCCTGGCCTGGGTTATTCCCCTTCCTGACTCACCAGTTCACTTTGCTCCCCCCACTTCCTCCCAGGATACTGTCCCGCCGTGGACCCAGGAGCTCTGTGCGTGAGGATCAGAAGAGGCTGCAGGCCGGTGTGGGCCTCTTCCTCATCCATTGGAAGCTTAAAGCTGCCAGGTCCCCACGCGGCAGCTGATACCTGCGGGACAGGGACACAGAGACTGATGGGCTGCTCCAGGCTGGGAGGCCCTGGCTTTGCGACTCTTGGCTGCCATGAGGGCCTGGCTCTTCGTAGGGACTTCAGACTGGCTCATTTCATGTGTGGTTCTCTGGCACCTTTGCCATCTGTCACTGGTCTTTGGGGACCAGTTACAGGGAGAGTGATCACCGTGGCTGGACTGCTTCAACCACAGGGCATTGTTCTATTAGGAATTTTCTGGGTCTGTCTTCGGGCTGGTCACTGCTCCCCAGGGTGGAGGAGCAGGCCCTTGGCTTGCCCAGGGGTGACTTGCCCGTGTTCCTTCCATTCTTGCTTGAGCTGTCAGCGCTCACTCTCTTTCCTTCCAGAGACCCTGTGCTGGGGTTGGGGACCTGCTGTTTCTGTGCGCCGGCCCTCACTGCCTGTTTCCTGCTCCTGGCTGGGCTGCATGGGGACTGGACAGGGGCGTGTTCGGGTCTGCAGGCAGCCCAAGGCTCTGGTCTGTTTTTCAGGTTTCAGAGAAATGTGCTTGACCTCTCTCTCCAGTGGAGATTTGCCAACCTGCCTAATAACGCCAAGCTGGAGATGGTGCCCATCTCCCGGAGCCGCGAGGGGCCCGAGACCATGGTAGGTGGCGCTCAGGCAGGGGCCGGCCATACTGCTTCTCCCGGCTCCCTCGTTCAGGCTGGACTGCAGGGTGCTCGGCAGGCCCGGCAGAGGGGCAGGGCATGCCTGCTGCTGGAAGAGCACCCTGCAAGCCAGGCACCCATCCTCAGGGGGAGGTTGCCTTCTATCGGTCAAGCCGGGGCCACTTTTCTGCTTTGAAAACTGATGATTGGAGATGAGATTTTTCATTCCTTATGCTGAATGTTTTTGGAGTGGTGGGGTGATTAATTGTGCTGTGTCTGTCTCACCGCGCTGGCAGCATTCACCATGTGACCTGGTGTCTCTGGTCATAAAACCATCAAGAATCTTAGATCCCGCAGGGCTCTGTGCGGTGTCCAGCACAGCCTCAGTTGTGGGACGGGGAAACAGCTGGCACAGGCCTCTGTGGACAGGTTTTGGCTAGACCGCAGCCCAAGTCTTCCAACTGCAGCCCACTGCCTTCGACCAAATCAGTAACTTTTAGGTCCCAGAGATTCAGTGAGTGACGGTTGGGTCACTGTGGATGGAGACTGTAATCACGTTAGCTGCCCTCTTGTGCCTACATGAGTCCTTTACACGCAAAGCCATGTGTTCTCCCAGCACAGCAGGGAAGTGGTTTTCCTCCCTGTCTAGAGACGAGGAGTCTGGGGCCCGGGGGCAATGTCCGCTCTCCAGAGCGCGCTGGGAGTCAGCGGCGGGGGCTGAGCCTAGTACCCCTCTTTTTCCATGGCAGCTGTGGTTCTCAGCCTTTCATGTAGAAGGAACCCTGACTTCCCTTGGGGATTCCTTGGGGTGTGATTAGGAAACCCCCTCGCACTTTCCCACGAGCAGGTCCTCCTTTGTTTGTTACTGGGATTTCACGTAAATAGTTGTGCCCCTGAAGAAGAGTCCCTGGGCCAGAAAGGCAGGAGTAGCGACAACCTAGAAAGGCAAGCGTTCGACCCGGGGTCAGAGCGGCTGGGCAGGGGCCTGTGGGCGCGGTCAT